CTTTCCCTTTCTCTCCCTTTCTCTCTCCCCTTCCTTCAGTGACAGCACCCCAGTGAAAGCAAATAAAAGCCCCTCGCCTCCACCAGATGGATCTCCCATCACCAGCCCTGAGACCAAGACTGTCAACCATGAGCTGGAACCATCCACTTTGGAAGCACCTGGGGCAAGCATCCCAAAGTCACCATCTCAGGTAGTGTCCCCATGACATTGACCATGTCTCTGCAGTATGACCACTGATGGCACAAGCTCTGAGTCAAAGACATCCATCAGTTGCTTTTTTGAACCTCTTTCTACTACTGAGCACAGACAATATGGCATGACAGTTGTTCTTCACTGGTTCCTGGGAGGTTCCCGAGAATGCAAGTTGCTCATTGGTCATCTCTATATTATATATGGAAGAACTCAGCGCTCTCTGAATGCTTCTGCAGGGGGAAGGCCAGTAATATGTTTTGCTGTAGGGTGGCCGAGAAGATCCAGGGAGGATGGAGTTGTAGCTGGGCGAGGAAGTTTGTTCTTTTACATTTGAATTAACCTGTGGAATTTGATGGTCCAGTTTCTTCCCAAGAACTTCTGTAACTGAGGAAGGTTCAAAGAAAAAAGTTTAATATTGATGAGGACAGTGAGAACATCTGTACTTTGCATGATGTTTTACTTTAATCACAAGGTAAAATATTGTGCTAAAAATAAAGGCATTATATTCTTACGCTATGAAGAAAACAGGTGGGTACCAGGAAGAAGGCTGCCCATTATATGGAGTCTGATACCTTCCATGTGGCCTTTGCTAGTCCTTTCCTTACACAGAAGACACCCAGCAGCATGTTTGAAATAGCAGATGTAGCTCCTGCTGCTCAGCATATCATAAGATATGTTTTACTTTGGGACTTAAGGAAAATAAAACATTTACTTCCTCTTCCCATCCCTCTATTGCTGCATGGGGGAGAAGCTTAGTAAGGAAAAATAGTAACTAGGCCAAATTTATGTCTGGTGCCAATCCTTGCATTTCAGTAAGTGGGACACCAGGGAGGAGTCTTCCAGGAAGAATTAAAGCTGAGAGGGGTCTGGCCAAACTGGTAAGAGAAAATCTATTGCTGCTAAAAAGTGACTGATGCAACCCAGAACTTCCTTGCTGTTGTCATCTATAGCAGTGCGATTCCAAATCCAGGCCTGGGGTGTAGGCTGTCTCCTGTCTCTGGATAGCATCTCACAATATTTTTCCCTCCACTGTTTTTTTGATTTTCAGGATTAAGTAGGGACAAAACCAGGATGTTTGTACATTGGCAACAGGGTCTTTTCCAGCCCTGTGAGATATGCGGATACCTGGCAGTGTCTTTTCAGGACTTCTCCAGGGACTCTGTACCGCTCAGCATGGCACAGCCTAGAGCAGCTTAGCCACCACCCTGGCTAGGACCTTGGAGTAGGGTACGTGTATGGGGGAGAGGATAGTGCACGACTATCCAGAATTGCCTTCCTCTCTTTTCCCCGCCCCCCGCCCCAGAGATTGCTATAACTTGATTGAAACTTGGAACGAGAAATCATACAGATTTATTGAGCTGTTCACTGCAGATTTTGCTCACGCTGCCTGTGGACTTGTCTTGCTGAGTTTGGCTTCTTCCCTTTCCTTTAAATAGCACACATAAGCCTTGTTTTTGCCAGGCTGCAAGTGCTTGCTCATCCACTTGCTGCCTTCCTGCCCACAGGAATGAGTCTAGAGGCACCCCTTGTCGAGCAAGCAGATATTCCAGCGCAGCCCTGGCTGGAACCTCAGATGGGCCACAGGCAAGACTGAAATGGCATTTGCAGCTAACGCTGCCACCACCTGGCAGCTCTTTGCCGAGCTATATTTAATTCATTCTCCCAGGCCTCACTACAGTGAAGAACAAGAGCTTCACTCCAGTTTTGTACTAGGTGCTAAGAGATGGAGCTGGCTCCAGAGGAGGGAAGACAAGGACTGGGGTTTAGTACTCAGAGCCAAGCCTGGTGCCTGTAGGGATAAAGTCTAGAAACTAAGTGTGTGTCGGCTTGCCAGCCTACTGGAAAACGCAAGGGTCTACTCTCAATGGTGCTCGACTTTAATACTGAAAGCTTCACTGGTGTCATTAGTATTGACCTGTTGGTAAGTGATTTATTCTAGAGTCTTCCTAGGGAGGCTGGGGCCCTTGTCCTCTGTAGGAGCATGGAGCAACAAGCAAGTACAAGTCTGTGGCCTCTTCCTGTCTGAAATACTAATGCAAACAATAAGCAGAGGCTGTAGAGAGGAAGACAGCAAAGAGAGACCAAATAAATACTAACTAAATTTTGAACTATACCTTATACCAAAAAAATAGCTCTCATACTCTCCTTTAATTCTCACAAACAGCTAATTTCTGTCTTTTGGAAGAAGTGACTGCTATCGGCTCTCCGCACTGAGTAATATGATGATGATAAAGGACTTCAAGGGTCTGTGAAACTTCAAAGGTCAGACTTTTGCTCTCAGTTACACCACTGAATGACACTTCTGAAATCAGTACAACTGTTGTTTTTAGACAGATAAATCTCTGTGGGATCCAACTCAGCAGAAAGTTTTTAGAGGATTTATTTTATTTTAGGCAGCAAAGTTGTTTGGTGATGAATTTCTAGGTATAACCCAACATCAGTATGCAATCCTGTTGTCTTTGAGATGTGGTTTTAGACTGCTGTTAGAGGTAATGCTGGATACCATGGAAGTTGTGGTCTCCAAAGCACTAATGCATTGGAAGGAAGGAGACTGACTACTTTAAAGAAGTAAATAGCCGAAGAGTCAGGATATTCTTGACTTTAGAGTTTGTAATTTCTGCAGATGGTGGCTCTGTTCTGAGAATAGATTTTCCCTGAAATTTCTAGTCCCTTCTTGCAACTGGCAAGCAGGGTATTTTCAGGAAGGGCTGCTTCTCAGGGCATATGGACACACCACCTTCTGCAAACAGTGAAAAGTTGTGAGTGAACACACTACTTCCATTCTTTCCCCTAGCCAGCTATTCAGTGGAAAATGTGTGTTTGCATACTCACTTGTACTCTCAAGTAGATTAACACAGTAGAAAACTGGGCATATCCTTAGCAATCTGAATAAATGCCTTGTAGAGCTCAGTTATATGCTGGAGGAGTGTGAGTACAGGACTAGGAGTCAGGGATTGCTGTGTTTCAGAACTGGGCCTGACACTGATATACTGGATGCTCATTGTCAGGTCTCTGAGTCTTGCTGCCTTGGGATCCTAGGTACGATGAGAAGTAACTCTAAAACATCACTGTAAAGGGAAAGCATTGTCATTCCTGAGTATGGCTGAGGTGCTGGGAACTTGTATGGCTGCTTTGTTCCAATACAGTAGCATCTTCGCAAAGTTTGATTTGATCTAGAAATGGGCATTGAGCCTTGGGCACAGGAAAATGCGAAGAGGGTGTGGATGGGTTGATCTAGGGAGGCTTTACCACAGCTTCCCATAGGGTTGTTGATGCAGTGTCAGGCTGTCTTTTAGCATGATGGGGAGGGTATTAGGATAGGTTACAGTCACGGGGTCAGGCTTTGTTATGCGTTCTCTAGGATGTCTATTTGAGAAACACTTGTGACTTCTTTAGTGTCAGTGCTCATTGGTGAAACTGAGAGCAGAGTTGGGCCCGCAGCAGTCATGGCTTCTCAGGATTTTGAATTGTTTTTGCCTAAAACTGAGGAGTGATAAGAAGCAACCAAGAGCTCCTTCCAACTTTTGTTATGGTACACTGATAACTGATGCATCAGGGAACCAGTACTAGGCAGATCAGAATCTGTCCTCTTGGGCATCTACGCATAATAGGACAAACTGAGTCTGATCTCTCGTTCACTTAGATATGGTAAGTACGGCAAAGGGAGGCAGTGCTGGCCTGGTCTGTTGAATTGCATTCTCAGTAATTGATCTGTTCCCTTCCCAGTGGTTCTTTTGAAGGTTGCACATGCTCTAATTATGTATGCATGTCCTGTCAATGCATATTAATTGTGTTACGCTTCTCCTCTGCAGAGGGAAACTTGCACATGGCGGAAGTGTAACTAATGATGCCAAACCTTCTCTGGAGGCGTGTGGTTGGTTTTTTGTTTCGTTTCAGTTCAGCCCTTTACCCTCCCTCCCTCTCTCTTCAGATGGAGTTGACTGGACCCCTGCTCTATGCCTGTGGTTGTGATTTCCCCCACCTTCAGTTTTTGTGGCTAACCTGGTTCCTGTCTTTGGTTTTTTTGGGTGTCGCCGTCTGTGCTGTGGCCGTGTGCTCACTTGCATGCAGTTGAGGAAAGGGCCTCCGGTGCCTCCGCCTCCAAAAGTCACCCCCTCCAAGGAGATCAAGCAGGAGAACATCATCAGTCTGTTTGATGACAATTTTGTGCCCGAGATAAGTGTGACAACCCCGTCGCAGGTTAGCTGCTATGCCCTGCCTTTTATTTATCTGCCTCTGAACTTTTCCTTTTGACCTTTCTTTTCTTTGGAGGTGTCAAGCCATGAAACCTGGTCAGGTGAAGGAGGAAGGCAAGCTCAGGACTGGACCTCAAAAGGCAAAGGGATAGATAGGAGGCCATCTTAGAGGGAAGGGTGGCTAGAAGGCAGCTTTGACCAACACATTTCCCTTTGAGAGCTTTTTTTCATAGGAGAAATGCAACTGGTGAAGATACCAGAAAGTAATCACTGCATTTGTTCAGCAGCAATGCACATGGATTATGGCTCTCCTCATATCCCATGATATGCTCTCTCCAGAGCCATTCATCCTGGGTGTGGATGAGGCATGTGTTTTCTGCTCTTGTACGTCGCCAAGCGCTGACACTGGTATTTGTGCCAGTTCTGGGAGAAGGCAGTTTTGTGCTCTCTGTACCTTCACACGTGGGCTTTGTGGTAACTTTTAAAGCCCACACCCACACAGGAAAGGCCAACAGAAATTGCATGAAGTTCTCCTTGCAGAGAATAGGTGCCTCCAGTTTAGACAGGCAGGGCTGTGCCTACTGTGAATTCAGGGCTGCTGACGCAGTCTGTCACTCTTTACCAGCCAGCGGTTCTATAAGAATATTTCTTTCTTGTCACATGGTGCCTTTTGAAGCCCTGAAAATGGAAAAAACATTTTCAAATTATGTATGTTCCTCTTCACTTTCCTTTTGACTTAATCACTGCAAGAGAAGATGTGCAGGTGGGGAATTCTGTGTTGGATCTTGGAGAATGGCAGTCCTTATGCATATAGGAGCCTGACCAGATTTCTGGCTGTATCATGAGACACCTGCATCTACATTTTTTTAATATATATACAAATATATATATATTTTTTTTCCTAAATGCTTGTTAAAGCACAAATAATGTCTCTATGAGTGCTCATCTGTGACTCATTCCCTAACTTTCCCTTGCATCATGATGCTCCATTGCCTCTGGTTTGCCACCTTCCACCCAGCTGCTGAGGAGCAGAGATGGAGCGGGGAGGGAAGGAAGTCCATGTCAGGTTTTGCATTGCAATAGATAAAGCTTGCAGAGAGATGATTTGACAGCAGTGTTGGAAGGGGGGGACCACAGGCAGCTGAGCAGCCCTCTATCATTCTCTGTGCTTCCCTCTCTTGTATCATAATGGACAGCTCTGTCTGCCCCATAGTTTGTATCATGTGTTTCCATGTGAACACCAGCCCTTAGCCAGACATACTCTTCTACACCTGATCAGTGTCCTGACCTAGGATGGGATCTGCTGTGACATTCAATCAAATGGGAGTTCTGAGGGAGGCTTCTGGTTGCCAGAACAATCTTCACTGTGAAGCACCAACAGTGACTAGCGTTCACCATGTTGCCCAGGGCCATTTCTGTCAGATGTCTTAGCTCCAATGAGCTGTTCTGTGGCAGAGCTGGGTAAATACCATTGCGTGTAAATTTTGAATGGCAGATAAAATTATTCCATGACTGGAGCCTTTGGTGTCCCACCACCAAACAAAACTAAAGATTGGGGTTTGAGCCTCTCCGATGGCCTGGATATGCTGGAGTTGTGTAATAGAATGCTAGTTGGGTTTAGCATACTGGTCAGGTCTTATTGTGAGATGGGAGAGCTTGGTTCCTTGTCCTCATGCCTGTGGATCTCAAAAAGAGCCAAGGATGTTCATAAGGGAAGGAAAAGTCTATAAAAGAAATGGAGTAAGACGAAGTTAGAGGAGGTGAAGATAATGATGATATGGGTTGTACACAGAAGACTTTCTTTTAAATTGTGTCTTGTGCTGCTTTCCAGGAGTTTTTCCATGGTGGAGCTATGATATAACTGTGGAGACCAACCTGCTAGGCTTGGTGTGTTGTTTGAAAGGTAGCGGAAACAGTAGGGCCAGCGAGCTTGGGAGGTCAGTGGAAACGGGGACAAATCTTCCTGGACTTCCTGGAGAGAGCAGCTTCCTCTGAAGCTGAGTAGAAAGGAGTGTCTTGGAGTGGTTAGGTTAAATCTAAAAACCAGAAATGATAGTTCAGTTTTGAATACTAATGACTGTAGTGACCGTTTTATTAATGGTATCAGTGAATGTGCCATCATTCTTTAGCTAGAACGCTGGTCAGTCAAAGGGAGTTATTCTGCTGACTTTGAAGAAAGTAGCAAAGCTTTTCAAACTTAGGCTTCGTTAGAACAGTTGTGTTTGCATGTTTCTGAGATGTTTTGACATGGAAAGCATTTGAAACAGCATTTTTTGGATTGGGAAGTAATTCAAATCCTTCTGCTAGGGTGAGCTGCCATATTCTGTGTTTCTGTCTCAGGAGGGAATTAGTAACTTTGGGAATTAGCTCTGAGGTCCCTCAGACTTGCCTTCCAGAATTTTGAGTCTTTTACTGCCTGGATCCATGTTCCTGAGATAAGTTGTATGGATTGTGGCTCTTTATGTGGCTGACGAAGGCTCCCTGGGCCTTCGGTACAAAGGCGGCTGGATGAGCTATGGGGAATAGATGTAAATAGAAGCCCTTCTGAGTCAACAGTGGCAGTAATCCTTTTGACCGCAGCAGGTCAGGTGCTTACACCATGTCAGCTCATTTGGCCAGGTGAGAAGATGAATGAGTCCTGTGGAAAAGAAAGGCTCAGGTATGGTGTACAGTGGCACCCGTGTGAACCGCCTGTGATTATAGGCACCAAGCAGTCAGGAGTCACATCAGGTGTTTGCATTGCCACCATGTCTTCTGCGCTTGCAGCCTTCGATCCTGGATCTCACATACCGTCCCTCTGCTGTGAACGTGTGTGTGTGTCTAATGCTCGTACTGCTTTTCTTCCTCACTGCTGCCAAGTTCGATGTGCCTGGGCCCTTCCAGGAGGGAGCCAGCCTCTTGGATCTGGATTTTGATCCCATTAAACCAGATGCCACTGTGGGGAAGACCCCCACACCTGCCTCTCAGGTTGGTTCCTGTCACCATTCCTTTTCCCTTCATAACTGACTTGTTGCCAAGTGTGGTGTAGCCTCCACCCACATGAATGATATGTGGACCTGAGCTGTGGGTGGCTGACCTGGGTGCCCAGACCTGTGCCTTGCAGATGGGCACCTTGGTCTTCCCTGCTGGACATACAGGTTCAGTGGGAATCAGGTGGCTATTAGCCAGGCTGCAGTCTGGCACTATGTGTTTGTGGGATGCTTGTGCTTTGCTCTGATCTACTGATTGACAACTTGTTCAACTTAATGTATGTTCCTCCCTAGATTAGTATCCTCTGTATGCTATATGAATTTAAGCTGTTATTCTGTGGATGGGAATTCGGCCTCTGTTCTGTGCTTCTGCTATAAATTGCTCTCAAAGGGATTTTTAATAAACAGACTGATAATCTGCAGTTACTTCAGGTGAATAAAGCTGTAGATGTATATTCAAATGAAGCCCTTCTTTTTCGGGGTCTGGCATAGCCTCTGTTCATAGCTAAGAAGTAGCTTCGTCCCTGAGCATAGTGCTGCACAGTGCAGTATCAAAAAGGAAGATGCCCAGTTCTGGTCTTGCCTGTGCCTGGTCCTGTCTGCTGTCAGAGGCAGGTGGACTGCGCTTCATTTGTGTCTAAGTGGCTGGAGGCTTTGAAGCACATCCTGAATTTGTCTGTTGCCCTCACCAAGACTTTCCATTTCATGTGTATTAAATGGTTGTATTTTGCTTGTGGTTGCCATTAAAATTTGTAATAAACATAACTGGGATGTTTACAGTATTTCTCCAGTATCATCATGTCAGGTAAGCCTACAGATTTTTGTAGCGATAAGACCTTTCTTACTAGAGAGAGATCAAACATTAGGCATTTGAGTCTTCTAAATTAAAATGCTCTATCTGCAAGATACTAGTTTTTATCATAGTTTGATACACACAAATATGGCAAGCTACCACTTTCTGGAACTTTAAGTGGGCAGATTGGCATTTCGTGTCTGCTTGCCTGACAGAACAAGCTGCATGCCAGGATAAGCTTTTTCTTTTAAATTTGTTTACTGGGATTTTTTTTTTCTCCTGAATCACCCGTTATAACTTGGATAATTTGGTATACTGGTGTAGGATGTGAGTATAAATTTCACTTAAAATGGAATTATTTGTTACCTTTCCAGCAAGCAATACTGAGTGGGTTTTTCAAAACTGCAATAGCATATTTGGTGTTCTAATGTATTTATTACTAGCTTCAGAAGTCATTAAAAGAAAGAGACTGAAATCAGTACTTTCTAACGGTAAACACAGTCCAAAACCTAGCAAAAACCATCTAATTTTCAAAGCAGTCAAATTTATTTCCTGTAGGGTAGGCACTATGTCAAAGAGGTTAAGATATTTCACTATTGATTCAAAGACACCGGTTGAAGTCTTGTTCTGAAATCATGCTAACTCTATTGGGTGTGGATATGTGGGGGCATAATTAACACTGACGGACCACAAACTCATGAGTTGTTTTTTTTCCTCACTATGTGGTCTGCCACTGATAACTGAATGTGGTTTGGCTGTCTCCCTTCATACCAGAGGTAGAAACAACCCTCACTCAAATGCCTTCCCTTGGTACTTAAATTTGAATGTGCAGTGGGGAGAGGTGTATAAATTAAGGTAGTAAAAAAAAAAAAAAATATTTTTTTAAAAATTGAAAACCTGCAGAGATAAGTGCTGTTGAATGTATATGTCTGCTTCAGTGTGATCAGCATCTGTAATGTTTGTACTCACCAAAATAATCACGTATAAACATGTTTTATTTTTGTTGCTCTTTGACATGCTTAGTCTTTACCTTGGGATTTATGGGAGGTAAGAACTTCATACGGCTTTCATCTCTCATCATGTACTGTGCATGTGCCAGTGCCATCTCTGCGCATATCTGTCTCCTTTCCCTCACTGCTTTTCCTTTCTGCACACCCCAAGCCAAAGTTGCTCCATGTGCTGCTGACCCCCCTTTGGCCCCTTCTGTGAAACCCCAGGGGCAGCCACATGTTTGCAAGTCAGGTCTGACACTCTGAAACCTATATCTCCACCACCACAAAACCACATTGCCTTTCCCTGCTGACTCACTCATTCCCTTTGCATGATGCTGTGATGTTCTTCTCAAACCTAATCCCACTGTGGCATCATCCTCACCCTCCACCCCCCGATATTTCCTAAGCTCTGTACATCCTGCTGGTCTTGTGTGCAATGCAAAAATGTCTCAGCTGCCCCTTGTCCTTACTGCCTGTGCCATTGGGTTCACATACATGTTTGGCATTATCTGTGGCGTTTGCTGTTTGTTGACCATTGTTGCAAGAAAGGCTGATGTGAAATAGCTCAGCCTATGTCTATGCTGAAAGTTAAGGCCCAAGACTTACCTGGCATTTGCCTCAACCTCAGTTTTGGAGCTTGCTGACGAGGGAGTCCCTACACATGCTCTCCATCTGAACCAAAGTCAGACCCTCATTTATGCCCTATAGATATATTGAGCCTGGGAAGGTCTCGGATTGCTGCAGATTAGCCCATTGGGGGATATTTCAAGCACAACTACTTCTGAGCCCCTCTGGACAAATCTCCAGCAATGCGGAGAGAAGATGCTTGGTCTGGGTACTCAAGCCTGCTACTTGAGCTGGCTATATTCCATGGTGTAGATGTGAGCACACATCCTTGGCTGATGCTGGGGAATCAAATCCTGCCAACCTTTCTGTTCTCAAGGGCCAGATCACCACTTTGAGTCAGTACTTGGGAGGACATGAGTTAACCCTTGCTGAGAGCCTGGCCTAAGGACTCACTGTGGCAAATACTCTCCTTCACATGAGCTTGGGTAATGTGAAGAAAGATGTTTCCCTTGTGTGTTGTATTAGCTATCAATGTTTAACATCTGTTATTCCCCTGTATGTGCATTGTCAGTCTGTCTTACTAAGAAAGAAAAGAAGTCTCTCTTTTCGCAAGGAAAGATCTCGTGCCTTTGAAGTGGATGGGCAGGGGTGAGGAATGACTGTATCTGATTGAGCTGTGCTTACAGTCTGGGATGTAAAAAGTGTTTTGGGCCATTTCTCCCATCCTGGAAACTGATTTCACCATAAGGACAATTTAATCAACTGGGGAATGCTACTAGACAAGCTCTTCTCACCATGCCAGTTCTCACTTTGGCATATCATACATGGTTAAAGAGCAGAACTTCCATAGCTGGGGAATCCTCCTCTTGCTCTTCAAGCCTTCTGTGGTGTTTTTGCTCAGGAGAGTTGCTTAGCTCTGCAGATGAGGAATCTTGCATTTGGTGTGTATGATGCTGCTGTTGGCATAAGCAAAGCTTTCAAACCTGGCAGCAGCAGTGAGCAATTCTCCCTCTTCTCCCTATAGTATCTTGCCATGACTGTAAATGCTTTTATAGGCTTTGGGATACCAACAGGTACATAAAATAGAAAAATAAGTAGCTGACATGAAAACGGCCTTTAGTGAAATCCAGGGGATTAATTTAGATTCAATTTCTCTGGTTATTAAATACTGTTTTTGCAAATTAGCTGCTTTTATAAAAGGAGCTCATGCTGAGCTCCCTTTTCACTTGTCCACATAAAACTCATGCTTGGCCAGATAGAATTGGGCTGACATCTGTCCCAGCTCCAGTTTCACTGAATCCAAATAAAAAGCAACCTGGGAGTGAATCTAATTAAAAAGGAGGAGCCTTTGTAGCATTTCATATGGATACATTTACCTTAGCACCACCCAAAGCTGCTGTGGGAATCCTCCGCAGGATGGGAACAACTGCTGTTCATGATATCCTCTGGCAATATAGGCCTGTGGACATGGTTATGGGGAGTCATGAGGAAGGAGGTGATAGGAGAGGAAAGCATGTGTTAAATGGCACCATTGGAGCAGCTGAAGGTAAATTAATGGCTTTTTGTTAAAGATTTATTTCTTCGTTATTGCTGCTGTTGTTAGAAAACTGCTTGGAGCGTTGTGCCAGTGTGTGGCTAGTAGCCAGATGGGAGTGGACTTAAGAGTTAACCATGGTTGGTGCTTTACACAGGGCTTTTGTAGGGTTGGAGTATGAGAATTGCAATACGAAGGAATCTGGAGAAGGCCGCCTTTTGAACGTGGCTGTATTCAGGGGCACGTGTGTTTACCAAATGTATGCGGCATGTAGGCATGCTAAAGCTGGCTTATTCATATATTAAAAATGGGAAATCTCTATATAGCAATCTCTATTGCGCAAGTATAAAGTGGGTGTCTGGTTAGATTCTGCAAAGAGGCACGTGTGCTATCTGGTATAGAGAACAAATGGGTATAGACTGACCATGAAGACACTCAGGCTGCAGATTAGACCCCTGAGATTCTTGTCAGGAGTCTTCCCAGATGCTGCCTGGCCAGTCTCCCAAGGGGCTCATCAGCAGCATTGATGCTACCAGATCCAACTTACTGCCTGCGTTGCTGTGGTTTCTGGGATGGGCAAATGAGTATCTTTCATTTTGTGTTAAACAGAGTTAACCTGACTTCAGGCAAGAGAGAACAAAAACTTGGACTGCTGAAAGTGTATCAGAGATGTTTAGTTGGAAATTTTTTTGTGTGCACAGAAACCCCTGTCCCCAGACTTCCTAGAACAGTCTCTGCCAGGCAGTGATTTGTAGGTGATGCTGAATATTTCTTCTGGGTGGTGGCAGCTTTTGTGCATTAGAAACTCTCCTCTCCACCAACACGAATGTGTGCATGTGTACACACACACCACGTGGAATATTCATAGCAAATTCTTACTAATAGAATAGGCACAGCAGAATCCAAATTCATGACTCTCTGGGCCTGTCCAAAATCAAACTGGGTGAAAGTTAGTACAGTTTTCAGTTCAGTTTGAATCAGTGCTGATGTCACGTAGATGCTGGGTCCAGACTAAGTTCCATATCTGGACACATTAATACCATGATCTTCTGTTTCTGGGAGTATGCAAAGGCTTAAGTATTCCTTGATTGTTGATCCTTGGAAGTAGCCTGTTGAAAGATGCTTGTCCCTTCACATGCAAGCAGGCTTGTGTTCATGTGCAAGTGGGCATTCTGTATGTAACAATAGATACTGTGGGTCGGTAAAGTTGGTCTGTGATTTAGATTGTGAAAAGAAAGAGTTGCACAGAATTTTTGGCATTGCATTGATTTCCTCTAGAGTATTGTCTGCTGCGTGGCTGGAGTGAGGGAATGCAGGCTTTGCTTTGATTTCGCTGGGTTGCAGAGAAAGGGAGATAGGCATCCAGCAAGACGGTGCGGTTTCTCACCTATTTGTCAGCAGATGGCAGCAGTCAACAGCATAGAGCACTTGGACAGACTGGGCTGCACTTTCTGCACACACATGTAGCTGTAATGAGCATAACTCTCCACCTGGCTGGCTTTTGTGTTGCAGCCTGCGGAAGCAGCCCATGCAGGAGCTGAAGCAGCTGGATCAGAAGCAGCAGCTGGAGCTGAAGCATCTAAAACTGAAGCTGACTCAGGATCGGTAAGAACCTTGAGGGACAGCAGTCCCTTTTCTCCATCACATCCCGTTGTCATACAGCAGATGTGGGAGGCTGGGTTGGGAAGCGAGATGTGTGGCTGCTTGGAAACACACATCCCTGCCACCCCAGCAGTTAGAATGATCTTATTCAGAGGCCAGACTTAGCCATTGCATTTTATCTGCATAATGCTTATGGTAAAGTTCTGCTGGAAGATCCACAAAAAGAACTGCCTCTTCACCCACGCTGTAAAGCCAGCCCACAGCCCATGCTGTGCTAAGCTTGTGTTGTCTGCTGGATTCTTCCTTGCTTGCTATTTACTTTACCTACCCTGTCCTCTGGGCTCTGCCTGTGTCCTCTGAATATCCAGGGTTCCTCTTTTTTTCCTGACACTGCCACTTTTTTAGGGGACTGGAGTAGGTCCCAGCTCATGGCAGCTTGGTTCCTACAGGCTGTTGTCACATTCAAGTTGTCTGTTCCATGACAGCTCTACAAGAATAGCGTTGTGACCACAGTGCATGGGAGCCTTAAGCAAAGGGAGCAGGGGACAACAGACCTCTCCTGCCTGCTCACTGCTGCCTCTGCTGTCCTTTGGGGTGTTTTTGTCACTGACTGGCATGCTGGGAAAACCTGCTGAACATGGGTAGATTTGGGATGTGGATCCTCCAGGGAGGACTTGGAGTTGCAATTTTGGATTCTCTTTTCTCAATGGCTTTTTTTTCCCTCCCTGGCTGCTGCTGCCTACCAGAGCTCTCTGCCTGCTGTCGTTGTGGAAACTTTCCCTGCTACTGTCAATGGTACCGTGGAAGGAGGCGCTTCGTCTGAAAGAGCTGATATGCCCCCAGGATTTCTGTTCAAGGTGAGTGTGTGGTGGTGGGGCACTAAGTTCCTGGTGACTTTTTTCCTGTAAGGAATTAATTACTTTCGCTCAGCCTGGCTGCAGGCTGTGCCTCATTGAAAGGGAGAAAGGAAGTCGAGGGAAAGATACACCTTCCTCCCCAGCAGTCCAGCTTCATGCAGTTCGAGATGCTTCAAAGGACTATATAAGAGCACAGGTGCCAAAACATCTGTCTGTGCTGTATAGCAAAACGCTGCCTCCTCTCTGCTGAAGTTATTTCTTTGGTGGTATGGTAATGTCAGTCACAGACTCTGGGCAGTAGATAAGAAGTTGTGCTCCAAACTGGAAAGGTTAAACTTTGATGCAAGTGGCAAATGAAGAAGAGTTGGAAACACCGGTAGGGACAGAAGACTTCATGTTTGGGGAAATTAGAAAGCTGAGATGAACAGAGAAAAATACAGGAACAGACAGGGAAATATGGTGGGTATTCTGAATATGCCAAAGATCACTTGTAGCTTGTTTCAAAGGTGTGGAGGAAGGAGTGATTATGGGTGAGGATAGGCCACAAACTTAACATGCATAATGGAATATGGTAGCAAGACAGCACAGATGCATCATGCCCTGAAAGTGAGAAAAGAGAGTCTCCTTTTTTTGTTTAATCTGCTATAGGAATGCTTTTCTTCTGCTTTAGTCAGGTCCATGCATCTTTTTTTTTTTTTTTCTGGAAGATCTACTGAAAGCAGAAGAGTGACAAAACCCTGAAGAACAATAGGAGGCTCATAACATTTTGACTGGTTACAGGCAGCATTATAGACTGTAGTGCTTGATGTGGAGAGCTGTGGTATATGAAAGAGAGAAGCTATAACCCAGATGTTGATAAGGAATTAGGCTGAATACCAAAGAGAAAACATGGCAGGACACAATAACTCAAAGATCCAAACTGATACTCTTCCCTACATTTCCTCTCTTTGCTTGCTGTGACAGGGATGGGAGCCTATAATCTTTAATACTCTTGAAGTCCAGCTGCAAAAAGAATACAGGGCACCATTCGAGCAAATACAGGTTTACTATCTTGCGAGGTTTTTAGGCCCATGCCATGAGAATTCAATCCTCCTTAAAAAGGATGGGGAGGTGTTGATGCATAACAAGTTGAATGACACTCACCAGGATGCCCTTGTGGCAAAGGCAAGCTGTGTGCCGGGCTGTATGAACAAACGTGTAGCCATTAGGTTAAGGGAACTGGTTATTCCCATAGATGTGGCACTTGTAATCCAAGCTTGCCCTGCCTTGAGCAGCAGGTTGGATCAAACGGCTTCCAAAGGCGCCTTCCAACCTGAATCATCCAGTGAATCAATGAAGTGGAAAACCTCGTCACCCATTACAGAGCTGGCTGAGAGAAGGCTGGCCTCACCCAAGCTCTCCTCTCCCCACAGGTCCAGGCCATGCATGATTATGCAGCCACTGACAGTGATGAGCTGCAGCTGAAGGCTGGGGATGTGGTGCTTGTGATTCCATTTGAGAACCCTGAGGAGCAGGTGAGTGGGGAAGACAGGGTGTGAGCCTGGGCTGGGAGGAGCCAAGGGGATTTCCAAAGCTGCTGCTTCTTCCACTAACAGTTGGCTGGCTGGGTGCAGAGCCATCAGTTTGTGGCTGGGAGCTGGCAGGAGGGCCGGTTGTCCTTGAGCTTGAGGTTGGCTTCCTGCAACAGAGGAGCACTCTGCTTGTGATTGGAAAATGGACATGTTATCCTGCATAAAGCATGTGAACTAGCCATGGCTTTCTGTCCCTGTCAGGGTATTTGAGCCAATGCAATGACTTCCTTGATCATGGAGCCCAACAGAGCCTATAGTTTGCCTCTTCACTGCTCCTAAAGTTGGTGCCCATTCTCTCTGACCACTGCGGTGCAGACTGGCATTGGCAGGAGTGACCCATGGCTTACAATGTTTCCTCCCCTTTTGAGAAATGCTGGAGCTCTGAGAAAGCAGCTTGCCGTGGATATCTTGCACTTCAGCATAGAAATACCTATTTCTAAAAGACAGCGTTTGGTCAGGAGATGGCAGCAGAACCAAAGAACCTGCTGGAGCAGGTTGCTTAGCTCCAGAGAACAGCCTTGCTGTCCATCTCCAACCTGAATTTACTTGGTGATGTTTTTCTTTAATCTGAACTATTTCTAGAAGCCTTGAATAAATCCTTCTCACTTGCTGTGTTTGAGGCCTTCCACCTGATAAAGTCTGCAGCAGTTTTACTACTTTGGCTGAGAGAGGTGGTGATTTCTATAAAATTCATGCTCACATCTCCAGGTTTTTGTTTGGAAAAGGAAGGGAATTCTCCAAATTGATTCAGTAGTCACCAGCTCTTTGGGTTTGGCCAAGTTCAGACAAGATCTGGATTCAACAAGGGGTAAAGAGAAGGTGATGTAGTTCACTGGCTACAAAAGATGTGGATCCTCTTTGTGGCTCAGCTGTTGGCTTTGTGAATTAGGAAGGCAGATCTTGCTGCTGCTTGTGAAATGTGAGCTATAACTTGCTGGCAGCTCCCGCAGAGCTAGGTGCTCTGGGGGAAGGGTTGTATGGGAAGAGGCAATGATTCCTTCTGGAGACAAGACTGAGTGGGACTGCCCTGCACAAGCACTTGTGAGCATTTCTTTCTCAGAAAGTTTTCTGGATGGGAAATGCATGGCAGCTCCCCTAGTTTTTGTGGTAGGAGATGGCGTTTGTGGAGCGGAATTTTTCAATGCCCTATGTTTGCACTCTAGCTGGATGTGGGTGCAACAGCCATGAACTCGAGACTCTCCAAGCTGCAGAGGGTGAGCTCTGAGTGTTGCTAACATGATGCTGTAGCTGCACTGAAGCCCTCTAACCCTCCTACAGTGTATCCTGTGCTACAGCTCATTTCCCTAACAGAAAACATTGGCTGTTAACATGTGCATGAACTGTGCACGTGAGTGGAGGAAGCTTAGGATAACAGACCGTCGTCCATGTCCCCATCTTGCAGCTGAGATGTCAGTTTGTAGGTACATCAGCCAGGCCTGGATTCATCTTTCTTGATAGAAGAAGGGGTTGAGGGCAGCAATGCTTCTAAGCTGGCACTTCAAGTGACATGGTTCAAAATTGGCAAGGGTCAATCTGGGTCCTCATGTCTAATCTCTACAGCTGAGAGACCCTTCATAGCAGGATGCGGTGGGCGTGATGCATGCTGTATGGCACAGACGCTGTGTGCAAATGGATGAGCTTTTTGCTTGCCATGCTGTGAGCTGAAAGCTGCCTTCCAGACACTTGGGCCCAGCATCTTCTGCCTAGTTGTTTGTCTTTCTGATTTATGGCATGTCAGTCCTTCCTCAGGCCCTGCAGCTGGCTGCTGCAGATGGGCTCCCTTCCCATGCCATTCCCATGACATCTCCTGAATGCTCAAATCTAAGGCAGCACCAAGGGCTAACTGAGCCTGCAGGCACCCAGTACAGCCTGCAAGGGACAGGGAACTTGGGTACAGTGGCTGGTCTGAGCTGCTGCCACATGAAATGTGCAGAAAACAGGACAAGAGGGCAGAAGCTGCAAAATGTCAGTGGAAAGCAATACGTGCCCCATGGATCACCCCTGGTGAGGGCTGCATCACTCCTGCACTGTGCAAGTATGTTTTTAAAGAAAAAGTTTCAGGGGAGGCATTGCTTGGCCTTGGGTAAATACCCAGGTAACTCCTGCAAGTTCCAGGAAAAGAGAAGTGTCAGAACAACTATGTGAACTTGTACACATGCATGCCTCATTTCCCCACAGCTTAGGGTATCTGGTTGCCTGAGCATTTCTGCCCTGGCAAGTTATGTAGCTGGATGTGATGACGTATCTCTAAATGAGCCTGATGCGTGCTCATCCAGAGGGGTGGGTGCAGAGGAAGCTGTCAAGTTTGGAGGTGGTGGTCCCCTGTGCAGTTCCGTTGCCTCATCCTGCAATCTCTCAAAACCCACAGGCTGCCCCACTGCAAATGAGTGGGTATATTTGCATGTCAAAAGGGTGCTTCCATGGTGGCAGCTCAAAGGCATGCAGCAAATAGAGTAGCTACAAGAATTGCAGCCTTGTCACCTTGAATGACTTGTCTCCCTCATGTGCTTCAGATGGAGCAGAAATCTTGGTGCTGGACACCCTGCAGAGAGCAGGGAGTGGGTAGGAAGTCTGGTTCTCTTCCTGAGTAGGTTCTACCAGACAGGACTCCATTTGCATTCCCATTTATAGATCTATAGGCTTGCTGGCTACGAAGGACCCTTGTGAGAGACCTTGAGTCTTATATCATGTATAGCACAGGCCGGTGAGTTTTGTCAACCACATCTTGCATCAAGCCGAACAGCCTCTTGGGTTTTGGGAAGACGGGTTGAGCTCCTCAGCTCTTAGCTCTTGTAGACTAGATTTTCAGCAAAGTAAGACTCATTTTGCCTGTCAGATCTCTAAATTGCTAATCACCCAGGTGCTGTGACCAGATCAGGGGGTGAGCACCTCCAAGAAATGGTTCATCCTTTCCAGTATGAGCAGGTGAATTACACTGTGGAGGTTCCTGTCTCTCTTCTGACTGTGGAGAATGCTAGACCCCTCATATTTAGATAGTGAAAGACGGAGTAGGTGGTTCCCATCCTGTAGCTCTAGAGACTTTCTTTGGCAGAATCTTCCCTGCTTCAGTGGGTGTAAATTATGATATGTTTCTATTACACTTGACAATTGTTTACAATTTCACTGTCTCTAGACACTTGGGTCAGATAGGAGTATTGGTACTGACTATGGTGGGATGTAGCCTTTTCCCTGTCTAAACGTGAACAAAAGCATTTTTTTTTCCTTCTCCGCCACCCTCTTCCTGGATTGTGTCCAAGCCAACCACAAGCATGGCTTTTATATGCCTTGACACCTCCTTGGACTGTGCTCTGTAAGAAAAATCCCCACTCGCATCTATCCCTCAAGCATCTGATCTCTATCTTCTCCTCTAGGACGAAGGATGGCTGATGGGTGTGAAGGAATCTGACTGGATCCAGCACAAGGAACTTGACCAATGCCGAGGAGTTTTCCCAGAGAATTTCACAGAGCGGGTGCAGTGAAAGCCCAAGCCCACCAGCTGCATTTCTGCTGGAAGAAAGCAAGTTTTCTGGGTAGATAATTGAAAAAGAACAGCAAAATGAAAAGAGAATTTTAAAGGAACGGAAGCCTGAAAAAAAATGTCAGCTTTAAGGGTGTGTTCTTCTCAAAGGGCAAGGTTTCAGAAGTAAATTGAAATTCAAAGTGTTATCAAAATATATACATGTTAATAATAATAAGGCAAGTCAAATACCCTCTTCCCCCTTTAGTTTTAACAGCATTTGGATTCAGAGGACTGATGCAGAAGCAGCTCAGTGTAGTTCTCTAAATACTGCATTGACTGAATATGCGAGATGTCAGTCTGATCCCTGGAAAGGCAGTATTTGTCTAACAGCTTGAGAGTAGAAGCTGCATTTGCTCTTGGGTGGGTTCATCTGTTTTGTCTTGAAGGTGGCTTGCATGGCAACCGTAAAAATTCAGCCTTCTCTACATGTTCAACCTACAATAGGCCAAACTTTCTGTTATGCTGTTGAAAAAAATATTTAGCGTATAGTGTTCACCAATACAATTGTGTGTGTGCGTGTGTGTATTTTATTTTCTTCCTTTAAAACAATGTTACACAGACTGTGATTTTGTACATGTAAGGACAGAAGAAACTACATGGAAGGGGCATGGAGAAGATGAAATATGTGACGCTGTGCTTGGTCCAGAGTTCTTTCAAATGCAGATACCTAAATTCTCGCAGTAGTATTGGCCTGTGAAATGCTAAGGGGAATGGACAAATTCAAGAGGAGAAACAAGACAAAACAAGCAGATGCTGTTTAGATAGCTCTGAAATTTAGGAGAGGGAATCCTCTGCCTCCAAAAGCCTGTAGGCGATTTCAGAAAAGCTTAGATTCATGTGAATGGAAGATAGCTCTCCAATCTGGCTGCTTAGAAAATTTGCTTTTAAAGAAAGAGAGAAGTGCAGAAAAATTTTCTTCTGAAAGACATTCTAAGCAAAACCAAATTGCTTTCTGTGTTTTTAATTGGCATTGTTATTTGTGGAATTGTATTTCTTATTTTCCTTTGGAGAGTTCTGTAAGTGAAATATTGTTAGATCAGCTTTCTCCGGTGCTATGCTGGTGATGAAGTTAACCTCTATGAAAACTGGACTCTTGAAATACTCATTTAAAATGGCTGCATGACTTCATATTTTAATGAATTAGAAAGGAAGGCCAGAATATCAAAGTGTCAGTGTCAAGAAGACACTCTGCAGTCTAATAACTGATGCTCAGACCTTTCCTATACCTTTCCTTTGCTCCTGTTTGTTTTTGAGTTTTGTTTTTTAGTTTAAACAAGCAGATGACAAGGCTGTTTCAAAGTGTGTGTTACACTTGTTAAAATAAGCCGGTCTCACCCTCCAAGACTCTGAAGTCCCACAAAGGTACTTTAAACTTTACTTGAATACTGATGCAGCTGGCAAGCAGGTTGGGCTATTATAATTTTTATGGCTTTTCCCCCTTGCCCCCCTCCATGATCTTTTTGCCTTGAAGGGATTTTTAACAGTGAGGTTACCTCCTGCTGTAAAGGGACAGGATCAATCTGAAAAAATATTCCTAACCATTAGGAGCTGGCTTTTGTCAAAGATGCACAGAATGCTGACACACACTACTGAAAATCCCACCTTTTGCAATCTGTTTTGATTATTTGTAGGACAACAGAAAAAACACTATAAGGCAAAAGTGGACTTTTAAAAAAATTTTTGTTCAGAGGGACAGATCAGATTTTGATCAGAAAATACATTCTAATAAGTGCAAGAATTGCTGGAATTCCTCCTGCTTTCAGCTTGGGAGATGGTCTGTGCTAGTTACTTCCAGCAATGTAACAGGCATCAAAATCTGTCCTATGTAGTCAAATCCCTTTTCTTTTTTTAATAACAAATCGCAGGAATTTATATTTTACATCACTTAAAACCCAATAGTATTTAGGAGTAACTGCTCACAATACAGAAGGACTGGAATCCACAAGTTATAGTATGGTGAGCCATTGCTTTAGAATATGGCCCCATTTGATTATATCCTCCCCTCCCCCCTTTTTCACCAGGGTTGTCTTTATTATTACTCTTTTTTTTTTCCCCAAAATATCTATTTTTATGTATTTGTGACTACCATTATTCCTTTAAAGAATATTCATAGAAAAAATATACATTTAAATATACCTAGAAATATATATATTAAAAAGCGGGTTGATCCAATAAACATAATGCTGTCAGCTTAAAATGTTTATTTTTATGCAAAACCTGTGGATTATTGTTTTTTAAAAAAATGACAAGATTCTAAATACCAGAGCTGTGATTTTTTTTTTTTTGTCTTGCAAGTAATTGTTCTAGAGCATTTAGAAAACTGTGCTGATATCTAATTTATTGTGGGGCTTTTGCTGGTTTTGTTGTTGTTGTCTTCTGCTGTGTTTGAACCAGGTGACTGTCCCAACAAAAATCCGTGTAAGGCCTTTTCATTTTATTGAGCTTGCAAAGCAACTATCCAGTACTGTATTGTCCCTGCAGAAGTGGTAACACTCTGCAAAAAAGGGATGTTGTTTTCAGGTCATGTGAGTGATGCTCCAACATTTTTAGTGGGGAGGATGTTGTTACTCTCTCCATTTGCTTCCCCCCCAACCCAAAAATCCCAACCCCCAAAACCCCTTGCTTAGAGCAGGTAGGGTGGGTTACCTGGATCTTGCATTGCTCACAAATAAGTGGTATCAGCATATCTCCGTCTCACATGCAGGATCGGACCCACAATTTACACATTGCCTTATAGGAGAGTAGGATGGCATAGCAGGAAGCTTGTAGATGGCAATGTTTTTTGGAGCTAGGAGATCTCTTATCTCCTGGGTTATGTTCAGCCCATTGTAAACAGCCACAACTCCTCACATGTTCAGTATTTCTACATCAGCTAAATACCTTGATTCTGGTTGGTATTACCTGGTGAAATGAATTTCCCATTTTCTTTGGCTTAGGACTGATTCAAATAGAACGGGGGACACTAAACTCCCAAGTAGGCTGTGCCCACAGTAGTTTTTCAGTTTGCAGGCTGAACTGAAAAATCTGGGGAAAAAAGTTTTAAGGGTGACCTGAGACAATTTTTTTTTTTTCCTAAGTGAAATGAAAAAGGGAAAAATTGAACCATAAAAAGAATCCTTTCAAACCAAAATAAAGCATTTAATTTGTAGGGTTGCTTTTTCACTTTCTGAAAAACACTATGACTTGGGCTATAACAAGTTGCTTTGAAGCAAAAATGTGAAACCTTCTGTTTTGAAAATGCTGAAAGAAAGTGTTTCAATGTTAATAGTCTTTTTGCCTTTGCCTCTTTTTCTTAATCTATTGACTGGTTTCAGTTAACCCTAAACCGCATTTTTTGGTGAACACATTATCCACTGAAGAGAACCCGAAGAAGCCTATTGCCCAGTTCTGCTCCACTGGACACTGGACACATTTCAGGGATTACCTGGTATCTGGCCCAGCAAAGCTGCTGTTTTCCTATCTAATAATCTTCCACTTTATTGTTTTACTGGGTAAACAATAAAAGCATCTCTCATCCCCTGCCATTGACTGGTTTTGTAGCCTGGCTTAGAGAGACATTCTTGCTCTGTTGGTCTCAGTTTGGTCACAGATTTGTGACGCTACTTCAGTTTGAGCTTAATCCCATTGTGCAGTGGGAATTATCATTTGCCCAACTGATAGAAAGAAATAAGGCATTGCTTTTTCTCCCTTTTTCTATCCCAGCAATGTCAGTAACGTGTCTTCATTAGAGAGAATTAGGGAAAGGTCCCAGGGTAAAGATGAATGCATTTTTCCAGGCAGACGCCTGCATACTCTGTGCTACTTTCCATGGGCATTCCTCAGCTGTCTGCTTTTACCACCTTCACGTCTCTGGGCTGTGAAGGTGCTGCAGTCAAAGGGATTGTGCAGGCTTCATTCCAGGTGCTCAGAGCTAGTCCTGCTTTGTGATCTGTTTGTCACAATCCTCGAAGCCTCGTTCACAGTTACAGGAGCGTTCCTGTCCCAAGGCGAACACCTCCAGGTCAAAGAGGTCTCTCTTATGACTTGGAGCAGGTGGAAGGGCTCCATATTCTGCCTGGAATTGGGATGTTGGCTCAGTTAAGTTTTGCAACAGCCTCTTGAAGGGAAAAGGCCCAAGGCTAAGGAGGTACATTATCTTTTACATTTTGGAGTGATGTGCTGACTGCCTCACCTCTCAGTTCCAGGGAACCGAGGTCTAAGAACAAAACGTGAGTGGTCAAGATGCCCAGGGTCAATCCAATAACATGTGTGTCTCTCCTGCAAAGGACATGGAGTTCAGAGTTTCCTTTTCCCTGCTCTGTGCCACACAGGTTGAATGCTCTCTTGCCACTACTGTAGAACAGTTGGATGCTGTGCAGTCCATACCCCAAAACAGTGAACAACCTTTGCTGGAGGATACAGAGGTGTGTCTCAGCCCTTTCTAGGAAGAGCTACTGCCCTTCTGCAGACAAGACCTGTGTGCTTCTACTGCAGTAGCCTCTGATTTTAGTAGCCTCTGTGTCTTTGAGCATCTGGCCCCACTCTTGCGCTCCTCCTGCTTCCCAACCTCTCCCATGCTCTTTGAGGATGACAGTAGCATAGGGCACTTCCCACCAGCCTGAAGAGCAAAGCTAGAAGATGCACAAACATGTCCATCCACGGATCCATTATCCAGTGCGGCTGGATAATGCTGATATCAGGGAAAAAAGCAACAGTTTTTCTTCTCTGGGCTGCCAAAAGGGAGCTATTCCTTGCCACACAGGAACCATCACACCTGGCACTGCATGCTCTGGTTTAGACATTTCTGAGGAACACACTCCTGATGGAAAGGGGTCCTGTTTGACCCTCAGGGCTGGATTGTGCCACCAGCCCTTCTGAAGCTTGGGGTCTGTAGCTGGTGTGTGGTGGCTGAGCATTAGAAGGCCATTTCAGAAATTTTGGTTGTGAAACTAAAGGGAGAAGCTGTAGCTGTGAAGACGACTCTGTATGAGCTTGTACTTTGATGTGTCTTATGGCTATAATTCCTTCACCTGTTTTTACAGTGTGTTTCGCTAATCCCGGCCCTAGTCTGCATTTCACGTAGATGGCCCCTATTTGAAACTTGCCAGATGCAGTCCTGGGCTTATTGCTTCTCTTTAACTGAATCAAGTGACTTTGGCAGTGTATTGGCAATCTCTTTTCCTTCTGTTAATTCAGTCTCTGCGTTTAACCACAATGACCTGAGAAATGTTTGGGTTTTGAGTGTTTTTTTTTTTAATATTTTAATTTTTGTTTTGTTTAAACAAAGCTGAACAATTCCCCTTGTATTCAGAGCTGTGACACCAGTTCCAGTGACAACTACTAGATGGATTTGTCCCATTTTGTTTCTTCGCGATGTTCAGAAATATAATTTGTGTCATCCTAAGTCCTGCGTCTGTTTTTCTCTCTCTCTTATTTCCCCCCCTTTATATTAAGAAGCTGAAACCATTCAAGGCTTCTTTCTCCTCAGAGAGGTGAGTAGCTTCAAAGAGGTTTGGTCTGTCCAGGCACCATTAACACCCGGCCGTCCCTGGGGCAGAGGCAGCAGGTGGAGGTTCCACGAGCATCAGGGGATCCCTGCCTTCTTGCTGCCGTGC